TGGGCCTTTAAAATACATATCAGTGTATGTACCTACATAAAGAATGAAATAAATTCAATATAAAATAAATGAGGGCGTTTTCGAAAACACGCTTTAACTCGTGGATTTTGTTTGAAATTTTTCCACAATAATTGAATTTTTTGTTGATAGTACCTATTTTACAATGGTATTTTAATTTATATTTTCAACAAACATGATCCAGGTGATATACAGGTAAACAAATTTAGAAATTTGTTTATTATTGTTCAATATCTATGATAAACTGTAAAAATCCACTCCTTTTATTTCAAATAAATATGGATAATGCGATAATTTTTATGGGGAGTGTATAGTGTTTTATGAGAAGTAAAAATTATACTGGTGAGGCTGTACGTTTGACATAACAGGCAAAAAAAGTATGTAGGTTTCATTTTTCATTCCGAATAGAACATGCTATTTTTTTCTTCAAACGTGGCAAATGAAACGGAGCAACAATGGGTGCCTCGTTGAATTTGACACTTGACGTTAAGTAAAACACTTCAGCGCCTAAGCACAAGAATTCCCACTCGAATTCCCATTTCATATTATCAATCACGTCAAAAAAATTAATACTTTTGTGATGTTGAGAAAAAAAACAGGTTGTTCCAAGTACAGTTGTACCGGTATCAACTTAATTTTTTCAAATGTTACCCCCTGTCTAAGTTTTGTAACATTTCTGGATTCTACTGAGACAATTTCAATTTTACCCCAGGGAAATAAGACAAAAAAATAGGCCATCTGCGGAATGAGGCCGAACCAGCTGAATTTTTGCAGATACCTTCGTTTTGATATTCTAACAAAGCACAAAAAAATCTCATATGCCTACCCTTGTGCGTCTTGAGATATCGAAGGTCAAAGGTCATAAAAAGCGGTTTTTCCCAAAAATCTCGCTTCCACTGGATCTAATGTCAAAGAACTCAGCACAAAACTCAGGTAAAATCGTATTCTCTACAAAATGGTTCATATACATTTTTTTCGTACGACCAACCGTTTTCGAGATATAGCGTGATAATGCACGCTCCCGCATTCAAAATAGGTAATACTGTACAGGGTGTCCTACTAAGGTCGGCCAGGTACGATATTATGGAAACCATAATCCTTACGGCTTCAGGATAATTTTTTTTTTCTTCACTAAATCGGCCAAGAGAAATTGATGGAAATTATTTTGAAGTTTCTAAGATGACCGCTAGGGGGCGCAATTACGATAATAAAACTAAAAATTCAAATTTTCTCAAGAAATCGCTATATTAAGATAATGTTTTAACAACAGAAATCAAAAGTTCATTAATTTTTGCGTCAGTTTGGTCAGTAGGCTTTTTTCGCATCTTCACTAATAAGGGTGGGAGAAGCTGGTGAAAAAATAGTTTTGAAAATTGCTGTATCTTCCATACCCCTTATCCAAATTCATTCAAGTTTGGGCTTATTTGAAAGAGAATTTCATTGTTATTAAGAACACCACATCGTTCGGGGTCGATAGTTCCCATTGCGTCTTCTAGAGGGCGCTGTTTAACCATCAAGATCCAGTTTTTTCTAATTTTCTTGAAAAATCCAAAGGGCATGAAATTATTTTTTTATTGCTGTGCTTACAGAGCAAGAAAATGTCTACATATTGGCGCAAACCGCAAATCAATATCTGCATTCGTTTTCAAGTTACGTAAGGTCTATTGTTTCCATAATATCATACCTCGTCGACCTTAGTGGGACACCCTGTATTATACTGCGAAGCTATAACTATAAATGCATTTTTCCTAATCTGTTAGTCTGGAGAATAAATAAAACTTTCAATAATAAACTTGTTAGAAATTTGTTTATAATAATAGTTATTTATGTATCAAGGGAATTATGAAACCATAAACCAAAATTTCTATTTTTTCTCAAAGTTTCACGTATCCAAGGTAAAAGCGGGAGTTAATTACGGATGAAATCCTGAACTCTCGCGCGGGAGGTAAGACCCTGTTTCTGATTATCGTAACCAAGGTATTATATGGTTATAATAATTCTGTAGGATATAGAATATTTAATAAATATGTAATAACATGACTTGTATAACAAAAAATACATTCTTTTCCCCACCACTTTTGAAGTAGAATGCACGGCGGGTAATTTTTTTGACATTGTATCCCCAGTAGGCCTAATCCATGTTTTCATGCATGCCTGAACACATCAACAGAGTTGCTAAACATCGAAGACTGCAGTGACCTTGAGCCTAGAGGGGTTTTGGCAACAGACATAAAGCCAACAGAGAGGAAGCGTCTGACAAAGATAATTTGTTGATCGAGGTGCCAGTGGAACCCGACGTCGACGAAGACAAAGAGGAAGGCATGTGCAAAAAATTATAATGTTGAAAAACTTTTCCTAAGATCGAAAACATGGATTAGGCCTACTAGGGATACCATGTCAAAAAAAAAACCCGCCTTGCATTCTACTTTAAAAGGGGTGCGGAAGAGAATGTATTTTTTGTTATGCATGTTATGTTATCAATTATTTAGTGTATATTTTATTATAAATAAACAAATTTCTAACAATTTTATTATTGAAAGTTTTCCAGACTAACAGATTAGGAAAAATGCATTTATACTTATAGCTCCGCAGTATAATACAGTATTACCTATTTTGAATGCGCGTTCCCGCTTTATCTCGCCATATCTCGAAAACGGTTGGTCGTGCGAAAAAAACGTATATGAGTAATTTTGTAGAGAATACTATTTTACATAAGTTTTGTTTGGAGTTGTTCGACGTCAGATGCACTGGACGCGAGATTTTCGCGAAAAACCATCCATTCATGACCTTTGACCTCCGATATCTCAAGACGCACAAGGGTAGGCATATGAGATTTTTGTGTTTTTCATTAGAACATCAAAAGGAAGGTCTCTGCAAAAATTCAGCTTGTTCGGCCTCATTTCGCAGAGGAAGTCTAATTTCCCTGGAGTATTTATAGTTTTTACCTTTTCCAACCGTTTCTGAAACATTGACATTTGCAATTTGCAAATTGTTATTTTTCAAGTTTGAACGGCGATAAAATCTAAACGGAATCGAATAGAGCGATACGGCTTGCACATTCCTGTCCTAGTTTTTCATAGGCTATCGGACACAAAAAATATGTTTATGAACGCTAAAATTGATTTTAGGAAAACATAGTAGTCGTGGGCCGTGGCTAATGTTTTGTTGTTTATACGTCAGGATTGCTTGCTTATTTCCATAGGAATGCTATTTTCGTTCCGTTTACTAAAATGTATGGCTCCAGCAAGACAGTTATGCAGTTCAGTTTCGACAATATTTGGAAGATGTGGCATTTCCCTACAGATGGATTGGAAGGCGTCGACACAGGCGTTGATCTGTTGACTGGCTACTACCGCGGTCTCCCGATCTTAATTCCTTGGTCTATTTTTGTGGGGCATCTGAAAAAATGTTGTACCTATAGGTACCAAACTAAACCTGAATCGATTGAGGAGTTGAAAGCTATAGAAAAATGTACCTACGTGAAAATTTTTCATTCATCATCTCAAATTTATTCCATACTTCATGTACACATTTATGATCTTTATTAACAATGCCTACTTGAACGGTTTCATCATTGCGTAGGTATGTTTTTTTTTTTATTGACAGTTTTTCTATTTTGATTGATTTCTATTTTATCGTGTTTCCAACGTACACTCGGCCAAACATAAAATTGGTACAGGGAATGTATATTTTTTTAATTTGCCGAGTGTGAGTCAGGCTTAAGAACAGAAAGTCTCTTCTGAAAAACTTGGGTCAGACAGTTTTTGTCAACGTCAAAGCTGAACAAAAGTAAATGCAACATGTTTTTATGTTATGATTGGTTTAAATATGACACTGACTTGACTTTTTTTGTCATTGTTGAGGTGATAAAAAAGGTCTATTTACACAATACAACACAATAGGAAAATTCGTAGCAGCTTTATGATTGGCCAAGTGTACGTATGTAAATACATGGGTGAGATGAATTGGGAATTTAATGAGATAAGTGCTACGCAACGTTCATAAACCGTCCATTATTCCACTTCCAACACTCCATTACAAAGTCGTTGGCAATTATCATTAAGCAGCGCTAAATAATTCCACAGCAAAGCAAACACAGTCGCAAAGTGTAAAATAGCCATCTCGGAATCAAAGCGGAAGACAATGCGCGCTGTCGAAAAATTAACAGCGTCGACGACGTTGCGACGTAATTGGCTCTTGGGCTCGTTAGCAAGCCGTGAACTTAGTAATTAATCCTTTGGTTGTGTTTACTCCCCCGCCCAGCTTCTCTCTCGCTCTCTCTTTCTCTTCTTCTATCTCTAGAGCCACTGCTTATACATGGGGTGTATAAATTTTTCCGATATTCCCTGATTTATTGGTTAGCTTCCGGGGTATTGCCCATTTTATACGGATTATCGAACGGTTGACAGGCAATTTATAAGCAGTTAGTTTATTTATTATAATCTGCTTTTTTATAGGGTTACAAATGATTGCTCAATGTAATATAAGTATCCCGGTATCATGAAATATAATATTTACACTATGTTTTCCTCGCCAAACAAAGGGGGGAAAAAAATATCACAGTAAATCTTAAACAAAAAAATCTCAATGAGTGCACTTGACTTGACCGCTTATTTTCAACTTTTAGTCCATCAAAAAGATACTACTAAGGGTAATATCAATGGTAATATATACGTATAAGGGTTTCAAAATCAACGGTGTTAATCCCTTGGTTAAAGCCTGGTTATTTTTTGAATCGTGTCTCTTACTTGTCTGTTCATTATTGCATTGACTTTCTCGCGGCATGATAAGGCCGATTGGCATTTTTTCTCAATATATAGGTACATATAAAAGTTACCTCTAGTATGAAAATTAACAATATTTTACATCTTTCCATTCGGAATAAATTAAGTCTTTACTTTTGATGTATTTTTGGGGTTCTGTTGTTATTTACATGCATATATTAGCTTTTGCCTTCATTATATTTATTTTTACTATTTCAGGTAAAGACCATCAATCAGACGATGAGGACGATATCCGCAGCGACATTAGCAGTGAAGACCTCAAGGATCCCAACTGCAAAAAGAAAAAAGGTGACTCCAAATCCCAAAGCGCCGGAAAACCCAGACGAGCGCGAACGGCTTTTACCTACGAACAATTAGTTGCGCTTGAGAACAAATTTAAAACTACAAGATATCTAAGTGTATGCGAAAGACTCAATCTAGCTCTAAGTTTAAGCCTAACCGAGACCCAAGTAAAAATCTGGTTTCAAAATCGTAGAACCAAGTGGAAAAAACAAAATCCCGGTATGGATGTGAACAGCCCGACAGTGCCTCCACCAAATGTTGGTTCAGGGAGCGGTTTCCCGGGATTTCCTGGACACCATACTCATTCGGGACTTTTATATTCACATCACGTTCCTTATGGGGGAGTATATCCTCTGCAAGCAACAAGTTCAGGGGGCTATACACCATATTTTCACCTAGCGAATCACGGGCATAATTTGGGATCGTGAAAGTGAATACTTGATTTTGTAAAATTTGTATAAATTTGTATAAATACTTACCGTATTAAGAATTTGTAATTATTAAATTAATGAAATGTGGTTGTGCTTTAAACTACCTAAAATTGAAGTTTCATGTAAATATTTTATAGAGACATTAGTTCTCGTTTACTTACAGGGTGCTGTCAAGCTATTGCCTGAAAATGCACGGGGTCCATTTTATCAGTTACCTTTTAAATCTAAAATCATAATGATATGTTTTCATAAAATTGAGTACATAATGTACCTACCTTTTTTAACAGAAATAATTTAACCAAAATTTATTTATCATAACATATTGTTGAAATTAAAATCGGTTTAGTCAAGCCTACTAAAAAATTTCATAAAAATTTCTGGGTAGAATCGAGACCATCTCAGAGAGCTAGTTTTGAATTCTAGTGACTTCGCTGATTAATCTGTTTGTCAATGTAGAGGATTATTCGTGACCCGCTGTTTTGATTTGCGAAGTTTTGGAACTGGTTGTGTATATGAAGTAATAATAGAGTTTTTCTCAAATAACTTACAATCAAGTTTAAAAAATACTGTGAATATGAAATAAATGTTCATAAATAAACCATTGCCGCTAAGGTAGAGACTTCTTCTATAGGGGTAAGTTTTACTCCCTAATTTTCCTGCATATACCGGCTATATTAATAATTTAAAAAAATGTTAAATCATTGAAAGTCCATAATCGTAATTTGGCAATAACTTTTGTCGTACCTATCAAAAGTATATTTTTCATCGTTGTAAATAAATTTATCAAGTGCAGGATATAGTCTTTTTAAATACTGAACGTTAATTCCGAGATTAAATTTTATATTTTACCAGGATTTTTCCTATTGACAAAATATTAATCAGGCCTATGATGTATCCTTTATCCTTTCGTGTTATTTTAACAGCTGTGTGTACCTAACATCTATATCTGTCTATATTCTGATTTATAGAATAAATAGTGACAGACAAAAAATAATACATCATATGCCTGATTGTGTCCCTTAGTTTTCCCTTCATAAAAATTCACTGTCAGGCCTGTATCCAACCAATACTTATCCTTTTCTTTCGCACGCTAATATTCGATGCCCCCTTTCAGGTTTCCTTGTTTAATGCTGGTAAAAATTTCTTGTATTTCTTCCAGAAGTTGCCTTGTTCTCAGCTCCACCTGGTGTAGCTGCCATCGGTGTTGATCCCCATATCGAAGTGCAGCTGAGAAATTTTCTAATCTCAAGAAACGTTTCAACTTTTCAATTTTTTTCTGGACACTATCCACTTCTTGGTGGAAAGTTCCAACCTTTTGACGAACAGTTCCAACTTCCTGACGAGCCATTTCAACCTGGAAAATGGTTCTTACTTTCTCATGAATAGTACACACCTGTTGACAGACACTGCCAACTTCTTCATATAAGTAGGTACTTCTTCAATTGGATTGTTGAATTTATCATCTTGCATTCTCAGGATTTTCTTGAGTCTGGCTTGTTCATCAGATAAAACGGTTTAAGTCCATTATAATAATAATAATAATAATAAACGACTTTTATTTCATAAGAAAAAAAAATACATCAACCATATCATTTTATAAACCCACATATTGTAAAACAGAATTAGAGATAGGTCTAAATATATATAATATGTTACCTACAGGGCGAAGTCTAGCCATTGGCTACTCATACTCAACCCAAAAGTTATAAGAAGTAAAAAAATCATGCATTTAAAATTGCCTAGACAGCAATTAATTTCAATTAAATTAAATTAAATGGCACTTAAACAATAAAAAAAAATAAAAGAATAAAAACAAACTATAATTTATATAACAATAACAATCAAAACTAAAGATTCACCTAGGACTATAAAGTTTCACACTCCGGGAGATGATAGGCAAACGGAAAGTTCAGCGATAAGGCCCTTGTGAGTTGGTCTGCTTGTCAAACAAGTGAGTTTTGAGGCTAGTTTTAAATCTTGAGCGTTTAAAAGCTCTAAATTTTTCGGGCAGTGAATTGTAAAGATGAATGGCATTGTAGATGAAACTTTTTTTGAACAAGGCTGTTTTATGTTTAGGCACAGAGAATTTATGCTTATTTCTGGTATCGAGTAAATGAATATCATTATTAGATTTGAATTTATTTTTGAGATTTATCGATACATTAACATTGTTAGATAATACATCGTGTACAAAATTACCTAGATGATGGAGTCTCCTATTCTTCATGTTTAGCCAGTGGAGCTCATTAATCTTATGGGAAATTCTATCATACTTTCTTAAACCAAAAACAAGGCGGCAACAGGTATTTTGTATTTTTTGTATCCTGTATTGTTCTGACTGTCTAAGGCAAGGGCCGTAAAGGAAGTCCGCATAATTAAAATTAGAGAGAACCAATGACTCACACAAAGTCTTTTTCAGTTTTAAACTCAAAATATGCCTATTAGAGTAAATCTGTTTAAGGGACACATATGACTTTTGTACAAGACTCTTTACATGGCCAGTAAACCCAAGTTCAGAATCCAACAAAACACCGAGGTTACGCGCAGAATCGCAAAACTGTAGGGTTTGATCCGAAATCCTAATGTTAAAGTCCACTTTTAAAGTTTCCATACTTGTTTTTTTCCCAAAAAATAATAGTTTAGATTTCAGTGGATTGAGATTCAGTGCATGATCCTCTGAAAGAGTTTTAATTGCTTCCAGATCCTGATTAATATGTTGCGCTGATTGATTATAGTTATTCATGTTAAAATGGTAGTAAAGTTGTGTGTCATCAGCGTACGCCTGTATTTTACAGTATTTTGTAGCTTTAAGTAAATCGGACGTGTATATAATAAAAAATAATGGACCCAGTATTGACCCCTGTGGCACTCCAGAGAGAACCTGGCACGGTTCTGAGTAATTATCACCTACCTGGACCCTCTGTGACCTATCAGACAAGTACGATTTAATCAAGGACAGTGCATTAGTATCAAATCCGTAATACTTAAGTTTACCTAGAAGAAGGCGATGATCTACCGTATCAAACGCCTTAGAGTAGTCCAGTAACACGAGGATACTCTCCAGACCACAGTCACGAGCTTCTATTATATCGTTTGTTACTGAAGTGAGAGCGGAAATTGTGCTATGTTTTGCGCGAAAGCCATTTTGGGTATCTGGAAGCATATTGTTGGACTGAAAGTAAGAATAAATCTGAGCATATAAATTTTTTTCTATGATTTTTGACATTGTTGGCAGAATTGATATGATTCGAAGGTCATTGAGGGTTTCAGGTTGTTTCGTCTTAGGTATTGGCTTTCCAATGCCAATTTTCCATGATTCGGGGAAGTACTTTTGTTCTATACAGCTATTTACAATATTAGTAATGAAAGGATCAATGAAGGGGCTGCAAAGTTTGAGCATCTCCGCAGTAATTCCATCTGCGCCACGGGCGTTTGTTTTTATGTTATTCAAAACAGTATTAATGTTTTCCACTGTACACATACTAAAAGAGAAGGTCTTTGAGCAGTCATACTGGTTAGATTCGTAGTAATCTATTTTATTTGTACACTTGTTTGAAATATTTTGAATAAACTTTGCAAAGTGACTGTTTATTTTATTGGGGTCCGACAAACCTTGAGGTAAATGGTTATCACGAGTAGAACGCACACTCAGCCGATCAAGTGTTTTCCAAGTTTGCTTTGGGTTATTTTGCCTCAAGACAAAGTTCAGATAGGCCTTCTTTTCAGCTCTAACCATAGAGACCGTGTAGTTACGTAACTCTTTATATCTTGCCCAATCTGAATTTGCTTTGGTGTGTTTAAATTTTTGTAGAGCCTTGTCCCTTTCCTTCATGATTAATTTAAGACCCTGTGTCAGCCAAGGAGCTTTAGGCTTAGTTACTCGGGATGATTTAATTGGGGCATGTGTGTTAAATGTTACATTTATGAATTCATTAAATAATTGAACTTTCTTGTCTATGTTATTTTCATATACAACATCCATCCAAGGCAATAATTTCAGATCGCGCAAAAAATCTTGCATTACAAAGTTTTTGAAGCATCGATAAGTTACCCATTTTGGCTCCATTTTTTGGTATTTTAAATTTAGTTCAGCAAAAACGAGTCTATGATCTGAGAAAGTGTCAGCCGATTGTGTGCCGCATGACAAAACCAAGTTTGAGTCGCTCACAAATATAGGGTCTATAAGCCTGCTGGTATTTTGTGTGATCCGCGTAGGTTCATTGAGGATTTGTTTAAGGTTGTAGGACTCAAAACAGTTCAGGACCGGGTTGCTTAAATCGAAAAAGTTTACATTGAAGTCACCAAGACATATCACAAAGTCAAACTTTGTTGTAATATCACCTAAAATATTATCAAAGTCATTAATAACTAAATTGAGGTTTGTTTTTGGTGGTCTATAAAAATTTGCAATTGCCATTGTAATGGATTTCAACTTAATACTTAAGACAATTAATTCTAGATTGTTTGATACATCTAAATCAAAAGAAACCATCTCAGAATGGAAGGTATCTTTTACATAAGCTCCCACACCACCTCCTCTCTCGATTCTATTGATATTGTAAAATTTATATCTTGGGATTGAAAAAGCACTAGGATCTTGAGTGTCAGTCAACCATGTCTCCGTCACCATTATTACATCAAAGTTATTATCTACTACCAATGTTTTAAAATCATTAAAGCCCGTATGAATAGAGCGCAAGTTAATATGAGCTAGACGCATTTCAGTTAGTTTTAATATCAGTGATTATTAAGACCAATCACAGAGCATCGCCAAACCTGCCTTCATTAACATAGAAAGTAAAACAATGAATAGGTAGGTACTATAGTTATAGGTTAAGAAGATTATTAAGATACAAAGTAGAATCTAAGCCTCACCAGATAGCCACCCTCCCGGAGTATAGGTTGTTCTAGAAACTAACAAGTGTTTTTTTTTTTTAAAAAAAAAGGAAAAGATAGTCTTGATAAAAGTTAAAGAGAAAAAAAAAACAAAACACGCTTCTGTTCAAGTAGCCAACCATAATAAGATTACAATGTATATATATATATATTTTTTTTTGCTGCAATAAGACAATAAGAATTAAAAAAATATTTGATCCCGTGCATTCCAACACATTTAAAAAAAAAAAAAGAGAAAATAGAAAATAAAACAGATTTCAATAATTAATGCTACAAAACACCGTTATCAGTGGATAAAAAAAAAACAAAAACAAATAAGAGGTACCCATGTTTTTATAGCTAATTTTAACATTTGCATTATTTACCTTCATATGGGTATAGAATATAATACAATACACCCACAAGTTGTTTTCATGACCAGTACATACACCATACCCTCTAGGCCACTAAGTTAGCAATATCCTCCGGATTCTTGATGCTATGCACA